CATTGAATCCGATGGTTCCGGTGCCGGTGTTGTTGTCATGACTTTTTGGGTTCAGCTTGAAATCGAACCGGTCATTGGTGGCAGCAAACGAGGTTTTCTGCAATTCGAGCGAAATTGACGAATGTCATGTTTGTGCGGAAGACTGAAGGAAACTGACCGCAGGGTCTTTCAAATCCCCGGAAGCGACTGTGTCAAGATCGTATTTTCCGTCGGCTTTTAGGAAAGCATGCCGTCCACTTTCGTCCTCTTTTGTTCTCAGTTGAGCTCTAATTCGGAAATCTTGGTTACTTCTCAACGCAGAGAATCAAAAACTACTTGGAATTCGTTACTTGTGGCCGTCAACGGTAGCGATACCACCCTTGTCTCCGATCTTCTGCACTTGAGCTCTTTTGCCATCGTAGGTCTCAGCTGCAGCTACGTTACCGGACGCAGAGGCTTGGAATCTCTGTTGGGTGTTTAAGAGATCAAGAATCACTTTCTCCTTATTGGAGGCATCGAGGGCTACCTAAAAAAGATGATACATAAGTAAATATTTTAAGGCAAAATGCTCCGTTACCGAGAAAATGCACTTCTTGTGGGGGCATGCACTTCTTTGGACCTCGATTCTAACTGAGTAGGATGCGTGACGCATCCCATGAAAATATTAACAGACTTTAGAGGACCCGTCGTATGTTGGGGATCTTCAAATGGTCCACTGCCCTCACTAGCAAATTCTTATGAATTTCTGATAAGATGTTTGGTCATTTGTGGAAGGAAGTCTTACTGAAGGAGAAATCAGGGAGGGGAGGGGGATGTATTTAGTAAAAATTCCACCACCCTCCCCTTCCCTTAACGCGAGTGCCTTGTTCTAGACGTTCCGTCCTTTTCTGCTTGATAAAAGGGAAGCACAGACGTGTTGCTAGCCGTGAACGCCGCATTTATCCCTTTCGACTTTTTCAGTCGCTTCTCAGCTTTCAGCCAGCGCAATCAAAATAAATCACCTACTCTTTGCACTTCCTGTTGACGTTTGTCCAACCAGCTGGAGTCAGCTTCAATGTGCTTATGTTGTTCGTTGATAGAGACGTGATTCGGAATCAACTGGGCGTCGATGTCCCCGACGAGCAGCACGGCTACGATCGGCAGAACTGCCGTGCCAAACATCTGAAACCATAGTTACTTGTTCGCATTCGCTAGCACGCTGTCAGCATTGTCAGAGGCACAGTTGAATCTTATCGGAGACAGCCAATCGTCATGCTATTTGAATTCCTAGCATCCTAGTTGGCTCCAGAAAGAGCTCCAGCGAAGAATCCGGAATGGTCGACTATGCCCGCCCATGGGACGACCGTGCACTGAGCTTGAAAATTCAAACTGTGCAACACTAACTTGATCTCTCTATCAAAGGAGGTCCTGCTAGTTTCCCACTTCATTGGGGCACGACTACATTCTTCATGTAAATGAGTAACTCTTCTGGTTGTGTCAGAATGTCTGATCACTGCAGGCTGCTAGCTCCGCGTGTATTGTTACCGCCTTAGCAGTCTTCCGTGAACTGGTTGGACGAAAGTCGGAGGTGACGTCATCAAAAAAATGCCTACCCGAGATTTCCACAGAGAAAAAGAACCCAGAGAGAATCCTTGAAATGAAAAGAATCCTGTTTTCTGAATCACTGCTGAAACCTTGACTAGAATGTATCACAGGGGTTACAAAATAAAACCTGTAGCCTATATGGAACGGCTTAGGAATGCGTGTCAAGGCAAAAGCAGAGGAACGTTAAATGTTCTATCAGGTGGGTATTTTCGAGGGTTTCGTGTCTTGATAATTTCGCCTAGTTGGAAGCACCGGACAAAATAAATTCAGTATGGTACAATAGCTAAGTCTTAAAGAGGGCACACATTGTCGCAGGCCGATGTTTGCAGTACAACTCCCATTAAGCTTCCTACCCCTCTGGTACCCACCCCTGTCCATGCTACTTGCCAATTTCCTAAGTTTCCCAAGTTCCCGTCTTTTTTCACAGTTTTCTATTGAACTTTCAATTTTATTCCGGAAAACATACCAAGGAAGCGTGGAGTTATCACCAAAGGAAAAAAGACAAGAAAGTTCATCTATCGAAAAGATTTTCTAATTTTGCTCAAAAGCAAATGTGCCCTTCACCTACGTTAGGGATCCCCAACGTACGACATGCCCTGAACATAAGATCAGGCCGTCTGCCTAAGGTTCTGCACCGGTATCTGGAGGTAATGGATACCTTGTGAGCTCGATAAAATCCATCCACAACCCACAGTTCTAAGATGGACGGGAGAGACGGAGTTCTCTTTTCGAAAGGTAACAACTCGACAGTCCATAGATGAGACGAGAAGACCTTTTTTGGAGTAATAAATCCTGAGCTTTCCGTGGTCCAAAAATGACAAAACAAGTACAGTTTCCTCTTCCCGTCTTGAGAACAATTCGATTACTACAGAAATATTGCTAGGAGGAAAGTGAAGGTCTCAAGATCATCAGAGCGATGAAAGTGAAGAGGAGAATTTCGGAAGAAGTGACACGATTAAGGTCGATGTGACCGGCAATGACATACTATGTAAAAGTGCGTAAGATGGCGAACGCGAGATATGGACATTTACGATGGGATATAGGACGCAGTCTTCAGTCAACCGGTCTTCCTTCCCCCCTACGGCGGCGATCGACAACGACAACGACGACGACGGCGGGGCGCATTTGAACAAGGCGGTTGATCAGAGAGCGTAATCGAAGCCAGACTAAGAGCGGTGATTAGCGGACGACGATGTCAGCACACTGATTGCGATCCATGTTCGGTAGCCGGACGGGTTTTGCGCTTATGATAGCGCGACGCTCACCTATGCCATCTGTTTGACCAACTTGTTCGCAAGCTGAGATGACTCACACTCAGGTTTCTCTTCGACGGTCTACGGCTGGGACGAAAAGACCTTGCTGAGTAATGGGTTTGCCTTGGAATGTGAAGGATTTTTTCAGCTCTCAGTCGTAAGCTTATCCCACTTGATCGACCCGTAAATATACCAGCAGGTTACAAAAACTGTAAGGGTGATGTACAATCAAGGGCAATTCATAAATAGAAAGGCAGCAAGGAGTGCCTCTGTAATCCTCAAGTGCAGCTATAACTAGGAGATTTTGCAGAGAATGAACAGCATCGTTGATTAGTTCAGCCCATTGCAGTTTCACAGGATCGCACCTTTTATAGTCAAAAGCTGAAAGGGTCATCCGATGTAAAGGGCAGAGTTTTTGCTCCATCAAACGAGTCCAGTGACCATATGCAGAAGCAGGAGAAAACGCAATACGCCTGACCTGGGCAACTTGATTTTCCGAATAGAACCTTCACAGTCGTTTCAGTCGTTTGTTGCGAAAAAAACTTGGTTCCACCAAAACAACATCAACCACACACAAAAATTCAATCGTAACACAGCTCTAGGAACGGTTAGACCGCTCCAAAAGTTAGCGCAAGCTTGTTCTAAAATACTTGCGAGTATTTTGTTTATTCGTGTAGCGTCTTCAAATAAGCACATATACAGGGGCAAAAAAGTCACTTCGACCGAGTCACATATCAGCAAAGTTTTCGCAGCCCAGAGAGAAGACGTGGATAGTACCAGGGCGAAGATACCCAAGATGTTCCTCGATAAGCAGGAGCTGGCTCTCGCCCATCACCTTCATGTACACCAAAATATGAAGTCATCTCCAGTCGCAGCCTGACTGGAGAAGACCTTTGGAATTCATGTCACCTCCAAACAGCTGCGAAACTTCTAGTATGGAGTCACCTACCTGGAGACCAGTACTCTCGATCTGGAAGACCTCCAACATCGAGCAGCTCCGACAACGTCGCTACGGTCTAGGACATCATCTTCACCGCAGTCGCCAAGCGGGTTGATGGTATGGACCGGACGCACCTGGAATGGAAAGACCAATATTTTCTTCGTGGACCCCGGGCTGAAGCTGAGCGCTGGCGGTTACATCGACCAACTCAAGAAGAATATCTTCCTCACATTTCGTCGCCCGTACTTTGGTGCCACCACGTGGAATCGAAGGGCGTTGGAGAAACTCTCGCCTACCTGGAATGGAAGGGGGCTGAGTACCTAAAGAAGATGGAATATCCAAGTAGGTCACCTGACCTGAATCCCCTCAATTACCCGGTTCGGGCGGAGTTCAATAGGGTGGTCTACGGTGGCGGAGAAATCGACTATCTCGCTGATCTCAGGCACCACATCGCGGTCGCGTGCCAGAATCTCTCGATGGCGCTCCTCCAGAAGGCTGTGGCGGAGTGTCATAATAGTATTTAATATGCTCTTTAATATGGTGGTAGAAATGTCCGATCAGAATTTATAAAGTGTAACTTATAGCGCCTCGAAAGTCAATGAAGCAAAGTGACTTTTTTTTGCCCCCCCCCCCCTCCCCCCTTGTAGTTGAAACCGCCGCAATCTGGCGGGGCGCGGAATGGCCCACTCGTTTCCGCGCACCAATAATGGCCGATTAAGGCAAAAACAGCCAGTGGTAGAAAACAGAGTACAGCATCGTTGTGCGAAACCCATAGGGGGGTCGTACTTGGCCGCTGGGGAGGGGGGTCGTAATCTCAAGGGTCACTCAGAGCCGGGCAATGCTTCGACATTTCAGTATAGTGGGAGTGGAGCTATGGAAGTCAAGATGTTAAAAAATGAAAATTATTATGAGTGTATCCTTCACAGATTTAACTGCTACGTTTAACAGCCCTCATCCATAGTGACCGCCAGAAAATGGGTTCGTACTTGGCCGCGGGGGACGTGGGGAGTATCGCCAAAGTAGGCCCTGCTAGGCATCAAAGATGGAACGGACGGGAAAGGTGCAGAAGACCCGGATGTATAGCGAGCACGAAATAATAAATAAATTCATATCAGCAATTATACAAGAATAGAGAATAAATAATAAAAATAAATTAATATATAAATCACCTTAATAGTTGGCATGAACTCGTAAGTGGCGTAGATGACTAATTGTATCTCCCAACAGATTCGTGCGTATTGTCTTTCGCAACCCTAAACAAATACACTCACAACAATCTGCCGGAGCTCCTCTTTCACTCATTTGAAGGGATTTATGTGTTTTGAAGGCACACTGGAAGTTTCCGAAGTTGCATCCCACAATGGCACAGAAGGAGTCGATTTCGTGTGGGTCAGCGGGTAGTGCGTCTGTGACTCATTTAAAATATCTCCTGAACTAGCGGGTTCAGACGAGAAAACTGCTCATTGAAAAGAGAAAAGATAGGGCGGTTTCAAGACGATTTCAATCCTGATGAAATTGCGTTCGAAATAAGTAATCCTCGTGTGAAGCATAAAAACCGCTTGCCATTTACCCCTAGCCGATCCGAAACCCATCCGAAATATTTCACGAACGGGGAAACATTCAGATTGCAACTGGGTAGAAAACGCAACAGTAGGAACATTCCGTTGCACGCTGCTAACCATTCATCAAAAGCCGCCCGCCACTCTCAAAGAGATATGAGCCCCCTCCCTACGAATAAAGACGCCAGGACGTTGGGCAGGAACAACCGCGGTCCAGTGACGTTTTTCCAATGAAAGCGGTCGCAACGTTGCGATCGATAACAGCCAAGTATACAGGGGGACCAAAGAAAGACTTTTTTCTTCCTCGACTTTCGAGGCGCTATAAGTTACACTTTATTAAATTCTTATCGGACATTTCTACCACCATATTAAAAATACTATCATGACACCTTCCGCCACAGCCTTCTGGAGGAGCGCCATCGAGAGATTCTGCCACGCGACCGTCAGTGGGTGCGTGAGTTCAGCGAGATCGTTGATTTCTCCGCCACTGTAGACCACCCTATTGAACTCCGCCCGAACCAGGTAATTGAGGGGTTTAGTCAGGTTACCTGCTCAAATATTACACCTTCTTACAAGGTACTCAATGCCCTTCATTGTTAAGTAGGACGCAAGAGTTTTTGGCAAACGCCCTTTGATTCCATGTAGTGTCACCCAAGTCTGTATGGCAGTAACTAAGTTTCGCATGATAGGTACGGGCGACGCATGTGAGGGATTATTGTTCTCGGTTTTGCTGATGTAACTGCCAGCGTCCACCTTTAGTCCGGGGGATAAATATTTGGTCTCTCCCATTCCAGTACGTCCGGTCCCTACCATCAACTGGCGCCT